ATTAGTGAACACTAGTTCGTGGCTTTTATTTGTCTGTCCATTTCCCATTAAATGTACCACATACGAGGCAACTTAAATGAATACTTAATTATACACTTGCTGTGTGGAAAGTGTTAAACTATCAGCATGCTCTGGCTAACAAAGTAATTTTGCCCAAGGCAAGCCACCTGACACAGCTGAGTACTTATCCATATTGCCACATTGTACTTGGGCGTGCTGCATTGCACAATGGTGCATGAATTACGGCAAAATAATATAAATATGAACAAGTACAATGCTGCTTAGTAATTTATAGCATGCTAATCATGTATTTTTAAGTCTTTAATGGGCTAGCATAATATAATGGTGCCACGGTGGCAAAATGTTAACTTCCTCGCAAGGTATACAGGAGATCGTGGGTTCGATCCCGACCCTGATGACTGTATATTTTTAATTTGCATGTTCTCCCCGTGGTGGCGTGGATTTTTCTCCAAGTCCTCCAGTGTTTCCCTCCACATTTAGAAACATGCAATTGAAATATTTGGCTGCTATATTTCCACATAACAAGCCACTTCATTGTGCTATCATGAAAATGAGTTATATAGCTCAGTGGGCCCTTACTGGTAAAACAAAAAATAGTATAGTTTTAGTTTAGTTTAATATACGTACTGCAAAGCGAAAATCTTATGTCATACAATACTGTAGTGTAATGATATGAATGAAACAGCACTGTGACATTTCAATACTGTAGTGTAATGATATGAATGAAACAGCACTGTGACATTTCTACTACACAAAAAGAGCTCTATGCAGAAGAGGTTACTAAATGTTAGAGCAATGATAGCCAAAAACAAGCAACTGGGCCATCATGTTCGAAATGCATTTGCCAGCAAAACATTTGGTGTGCAAAGTTCTCAAGATAAATATATATCGCCCGTGCTGCTCTCTAATTAGGGGAGAGTTCACAAAATACATCGCCATATGTTGTAATTTTGTGAAAGGCTTTAGGTGGCACCTCTGTTGGCTGCAAATTCACCAGTGAGGCATATATGACATCTCTAGGTGATGCAACTGAGCACTGAATCCTGTGTGGTGTGTGCTAAATGGGCTGAAAAAGTCACCATAATTATACTGTTCATGAACATTCCATGTGCCTCCGATAAACAGTTTGGGGAGAAAAATACTCAAATGTGTGTGAAAGATCACGACTCACATTCCCCATCGTGAATTGCCATCATGCAAATAATGAACATGTCATTACCGTCCTTCAAATTATGAACAAGAGTTTAGGATTTTAGGACGTGGAGACATTTTTACATTAAGTACTTGATATGCTTGCGGTTGGTTCCCACCAAACGCTATTTTAAAAAATGGTAGTGATGACAACATAAAAGTATACATATACAGCCTGTTTGTCAATCCGTTGCTGGATGAGAGCTTCACCCACACCATGCGGGTCATGAGGGGTATTTGAACATATTTCTCCCACGTTGGTCACAGTGAGTTGGTCAAGGTGGAGGAAATGCAGAGCAATGAATTGTGTCGCACTGCCCTATGCTGCCCACTATCCGAAGCGATATCCAGGCCGAATTCCCTGCTTAGCTTCAAATGTGTGATGGGACTGGGTGCATCCCAGGTGATTTAATCATAGGCGTGTGTTCAAACGGTGTACGGACACAGAATAGAGATGATTTTGAAACTTAAACATTTACATGTCCAATCATGTTTTCAGTTCTTACAGAGCTCCATCTGTGGAAATAGCCCTCGGCAGTAGTGCAGCAAAGACTGCTGTGCATGTAGTTTTGGTCTCGCAATGTCTTTGCAAATCATGCATAGCTGTGGTTCAATAACTTCCTTATCTGCCAACAGAACCCACAGAATTGCATACTAAAAGATGCAAGTCAACACAACAGATAAAATAATTGCACTGTGCTGTATTTTGAAACCAGGATGCAATTCGTTTTTGTATGATGATGAAAGTACATATATGTCCCTGGATACTCTAATCAGAAAACATATTGTAATGAGGGTAATGTAAGGAATGAGTATGTAAAGTGCATAAACCAAAGCACTTACAATACATCAGTATTAAACTACGCACCAAGAAAACCTGAGTTTGATTCCTGGACACGGCCAACACAACCACTAAGTGGTAACCGAACGAGTCCGGGACAACCTTCAACAACCCTGTACTGGCTTAGCGTGTAGTGAAATCAATCTTCATGACCGAAACAAGTGGGGAGGCCCTCATTCAGCAGTGGACTGTTAAAGTATTGTCCATTACATTTATACAAGTTGGCTTATATGGGGCATGAACAAGTAGGATAACCGGAACTCAGGAATGGTTAACAGAATCAATCATAAAAAATATAAATACAACAAGAGATCTTCGCTACAGATTTAGACGTGGATCTTGTCTGGATCTTGCGATTTAGTCGCCCTTATAAAAGATACATACTGATATGTTACTATGTTAGTATGAATAGATTAGGATATTATTGGTTAAATAGAAAGGGTTTATTGGCACGAGGGCCTACTAAAAGCACATATGATGAAGAATATTGTACCGTATAAAGAACGCTGCTATGCCGCCTCAATTAACATCTGTACATTTTACAAACTCTGCGACTAGGAAAAAAAGCTGTACTTACAACTACAACAATATACTATAAATCATGCTCCATAATTACGCTGATTATTGTATTATAATAACCGTTAAATTAGAGCACGGTTACTGCATTGCATATTGTTTCAGATTTGTAAGTACTGTACATATTGTTCTATCCTGCTATCCTACAAAGAGTTGCTTGTATTACAGGGATGGTGCAGCATAGGACAATGCTGTGATGGAAAATCTGCACACCATACACAATGCAATAACCATGCTCCATTATTGCATTCATTGACATAATTATGGTACTTGTTATACAACAGCCAAATATTTAGACCTGAAAAGAAGAGCACATCAAAGTCGAATTCACGGTTTTGAAATGGTGCACATTTCAAACACAGCCTGGGCAAGTGGGGGTGGATGCAAGCATTGCTCCAAGGACGATGAGCATAGATATGAATTCGGGGTCCATTATGCAGGCATATACACTCCACAATGCTGCCCGCCCAGTGACCTTTTCAATCATTAACTCCAGGCACACACAATCATGTAAATAAGTCACACAACTACACAACACAATTTGGATTATATAACGTCTAAAGGTAGCCATATCCCCCATTGCTCTGTACAAAAAAAGTGGGACGTATTATTGTTGCGAATAGATGTTTTGTATAAAAACAGAGTAAATGTTTTAGAGAAAAAAAGCTCATATGGGTGGAGAAAGGTTGTGTGTGTTATCTAGAAATACCATTTCCAGTGTCAAGTATTGCTTTACAGTAGTTTCAACATATACAATGGTATACATATAGAGTGCAGTCGAATAGTGGAGCAATGGCTAGTACTCTGCAATACGATTAACCCGCCAGCTTACATTCTATTCCAGGCCACGGGCTAAGCTGAAATCTCATCTAGTCCTGAACAGCCCTCCGAACCGCACTGACCAGTGTGGTAAAGGTCAAACAACTCCCATGACCCAATACGGCATGGGGAGGCCTTCATCCAGCAGTGGATTGAGAAAGAGGCTCAAATGTTTTCGTCATTATCACAAGCCATGCCAAAAATTTCACATCAACATTACAAATGGAAAGTTGATGAGAAATAACCGAGTCTAAAAGTACCACTCGATGACAGAAATTTCTCAAAATTGAAAACAACTTGTCAGTGTGTTTCCAGACTGGTGTAGTTTGGAAATAAATAAACGTTCTTAAATATACGAATTATAATCATTCAAGGACATATGTCAGGGTTAGCAGCAGATATAAGTAAACAAACTCACGCAACTCAACAAATAACCTGAGTCCGTATCATGCAAGGCCACATTTGCAACATAATTCAAGTCCCACTGCGTTCTTATATACCCCGGGTCCCATCGTTTATAAGAGGCGCTCTTGCCAAAATGACACATGGTAATCGAGCAGCATTTGTTTCACAATCTTGACTGCTGATGAGACCCAGAAGGTCGAAAGCGGTCCAGACTTTGCTTGCCTTAAGCAAATGCTGCTTGATAATATTTGTAGGGAAAGTCAATAGTCAACGTACTAAACAAAAGCCACTCTCTCTCTACGACCTCACCTCTCGTCATTATCTCATCAATATCTGCACTATGGGACCGTCTCTGTTGGTCTTCTGCTGCTCTTGGGATCTGCAAGCCCGGTCACATTCTTCTCAACCAGTTCAATAAATACAAACACCTACGCACACTACACTTTATTGGAAACACTCGATACATTTAGCTGGCTACCCACAATCAATGTACACTTATGATGTACAGCACAAGCAGCAGTCACCGAGTATGCACCAGTTCATAGATTAAGCATACAAAACACGTTTTATATGCGTTGGTAACACACACACACACCGTCTCATCCTTGTGATAGAAGTCTCTGGACGACCCCTATAAATAAATAACACCTCTGCCTATTCAGCATGTGATACACAATTGCATATGCGCCAAGACAGATGACCCACCACCCCCCCCCCCCCCCCCCCATGTAGCCGAACACAAGACTATTGTGGGGAGGCTTAGGGCTGTTAGCGAGCACCTATCAAGGGTTGCTGTGGCCAAAATCCCATGCACCACACCCGACCGTATTTGTCTCTCCATTAGCTGTCATTCCCCAGTCCCATCTCCCTCTCCTTTGTACATATTTCCGTGGAGAGGAACCTTCTCCTTTGTACACACACACAACACACAGCACCAGCTACTGAATTCAAGGCGAAGTCGTCCAATGATGTCCACCTGATGAGACCGTGAGCGTAGCGCAGTGCGCTTCAAATGTTGTAACTCGAAGCACGCTTTGTGTATGCGCAATATACACATGACACAACACAACAAACACACGAATGATTTATGCATCATTAGAACATCGTCATCATCATCAGCTGGACATCATCGCACTCGTCTTCTTACCTGCGAGCTCGTCGGCCTCCAAGCCCGTGTCGGGGTCCAGTCCGCACACCACGAAATAGTCAACAAAGCGGCACCCGGGAGGGCTCTGTGCGTTCATCTTTTCCCGCTTGTGCGTTACACGTCTCGCCTGATCTCTTCGACCTTGCTGTTGTCTGATCGCTTGCTGCTGCTGCTGTTGTTGTTGTTACGACCAGAGCGTTATCGCCACCATCATCATCATCACCATCGTCGCTTTCCCACCGAGAGAGAAAGAGCGGCGGCGGCGACACGAGAGGGGGCCGGACTCTGCGATGGACGATGTCCCCTCCTCTCTCAACACTTTGACGGGAGGCAATGCTAATGGCTTAATAGCAACAAACAAAAAAACACTCCGAGCGTTAATTTAGCGGCGTTGCGACGACTAAAAAACGCAACGTGCTTGTTTTTTTTTAGTCAAAATAAAATTGACAACCAAACAAACAAAATCGTCTTTTTTCTCTTTGAATCACAGCAGCCGCAGCAGCTGCAGTAGCAGCAGCAGCAGCCTGCGTCCTGCCCGCCGCGCCATATTTGACGAGAGAGGGCCCACAACGCCACGAGAGGGCCCACAACGCCACTAGAGGGCCCACAATGCCACGCTACCAAATCTCACCGCGTTGCCTTTACCGGCCACGGCGAGGCGCTGGAGACTTTCGTTTGCCGTACTCTTAGTTCTTTCGGTAAAGTCACGTAGGGTAAAAAATGATTTTAATTTTATTTTTATGAATTTTTATTAACTTTTTTTACCTACGTGACTTTACCGAAAGAACTAAGAGTATGAATCCTTGCAGTCACGAAAGCTTCAAATCTAGAACTTTCGTTTACCACCAACGACAACAAAAACATCTTCTTGGAGTAGGGGGGGGGTTTCGGATCGACGGACGCCAGTTCACCTTCTCTCATCCCTCCCGCTCGAGTTTGGCGGCGGGGTGTCCCGCAGTGGCAGGATGCAATAAACTCCCTCTTCACAAATCCCTCGGTTTTACCCTCCATTGGAACCCCTCGGTTTTCCCCTTCACTGGAACCCCTCGGTTTTCCCCTTCACTGGAACCCCCCGGTTTTACCTTTCATTAGGACCCCTCGGTTTTACCCTCCATTGGAACCCCTCGATTTGACCCTTCATTAGAACCCCTCGGTTTTACCCTTCATTAGAACTCCTCGGTTTTACCCTTCATTGGAACTCCTCGGTTTTACCCTTCATTAGAACTCCTCGGTTTTACCCTTCATTGGAACTCCTCGGTTTTACCCTTCATTAGAACTCCTCGGTTTTACCTTTCATTAGGACCCCTCGGTTTTACCCTCCATTGGAACCCCTCGATTTGACCCTTCATTAGAACCCCTCGGTTTTACCCTTCATTAGAACTCCTCGGTTTTACCCTTCATTGGAACTCCTCGGTTTTACCCTTCATTAGAACTCCTCGGTTTTACCCTTCATTGGAACTCCTCGGTTTTACCCTTCATTAGAACTCCTCGGTTTTACCCTTCATTGGAACTCCTCGGTTTTACCCTTCATTAGAACTCCTCGGTTTTACCCTTCATTAGAACTCCTCGGTTTTACCCTTCATTAGAACTCCTCGGTTTTACCCTTCATTAGAACCCCTCGGTTTTACCCTTCATTAGAACCCCTCGGTTTTACCCTTCATTGGAACTCCTCGGTTTTACCCTTCATTAGAACCCTCGGTTTTACCCTTCATTAGAACTCCTCGATTTTACTCTTCATTAGAACCCCTCGGTTTTACTCTTCATTGGAACCCCTCGGTTTTACCCTTCATTGGAACCCGTGGCAGCAGATGCGCTTGGACGGACGGGTAATGCCCTGATGCACATCATGGAGGATATTACAACAGCAAAAAAAAAACACTAATCATCCGGTTATCCGGAACAGATCGTGTACAAGGTTATCATCCCCAGGCCAATTTCCCGATTCACAAAATGCGAAGGAGACAATCACAGCGACGATAACACTCCGCTGCTTTGACCACCTGAATGTGAAACTGTTAGTTGTTATTGTTCTGCATCTACATCAGCCGTACGAAAGAAGAAAGACCATATTATGGGAGGCCCTTATCAAGGGTGACGGATAAGAGCAGATAACATCTTAAGATGTTATCCGTCCGGTATACAGGAGGTCGTGGGTTTGACCCCGACCCTGACGTCTGGAGTTTGTGTGACTCTTTCTCCGGGTCCTCTGGCTTTTCCCTCCACATTTAGAATCAACATGCGTTGAGTTTTTGCCAAACATTTCTACGTGATAAGCCACTTTGTTGAGCTATCATTTGCGGGCAGGTTGCTTCTGAAAGAGGTGGATAGCTCAGTGAGCCTTACCTGGTAAAGCATAGTTTAGTTAAATACTTTAGTTTGAGATTAGCCGTCGAGTCCGTGAAAAGCCCTATTATCGGTGGCTCCAATTCTTCCGATTATCCGCAAATCTTTCCCACCGAAGTGGAGTTTTGCATTCTCTAGTTGAGCGAGCTCGAGTTCACAACTCCTCTTATCCCTATTACTCACGACTCATTATTTGCGCGATTATCAGTGACCCTATTATACCAATTATCGACAATTTTTTGTTCTTGCCCCACAAATGTGGAATGCATTCACGGATAACCTCCTGAATAATGCGGTCCATGATGTTGGTCATATTACTGTGGACGAGGAGTTGTAATTCACGAGATTGCAGACAAAAATGTGTATTCAACAACACTTGGCAATTACATTGGGCGATACATTATTAAATCTGCCACTAAATATTTGAAATCACAGTTGCGGAGCACAGATGCAAAATGCCAAGAGGCTCACAATAAAGGGCACCATTTAAGTTGGAACAAAAGTTAATACACATACGGCTGTAAATGTTGAAGATTTACTCTCCAACACACCGGTGGGCTGAAGTCGTAACTAATTGGCGTTTTGTTTACGTGACAAATCCTTAATTGGCTGTGTTGGGTGGTGAAGGGTTACGACACATTTATACTTACGCAATCTCACCCAAAATATTAATATTGGTCGCGAAAGCCTACGTGTTAAACCGACACATACGGCTCTTGAATTGAGCAAGGTTGTAATTTTTTTTCAAGATTGGAGAGAATTCCAGTGGAGCAGTGGAAAAAAAGAGATGAGTGTATTTACATCTGCAGTATATGGATGATGATGAGACGATAGGTCGTCAGTCTGGTGTCGAATCCCTTTGCATATTAGTTTTAAATGTGTTAAGATTGGTGGGAGCTTTGAATGACATTTTTCGTTATAATTTCTCCCTGTCTGTGGGGTATCTAGAAATGGGTCCTCCTGTACTTCATGGCAGTCATAAAAACGGCCCTTGGTACTTACACAGTACTAAGAACTACCTTGTGATTAAAGGATGGCACAGTCGAGACATTGTAAGGCCATATTTGGGATGTTGAACTGCTTGTGATATACAGTACATTTATATTGTTACCAATAACAATGCAAACAATGTACCAATATTACATTGTAGCACATTGATCAAAGCCAGAATGAAATGCATTTTGCAAATACAGTAGCAGATTATTGCACAGTAAATTTATAAATATAGGTGGATGTCTGTGGGGATTATATAATGCATATTTTCACACAATGAATGCCAAACTATGACAATAGTGCACTATCCTACACACATGCATCTTGCAAGACGAACAGAGGAATATGTACCCGTGCAGCATTCCTCAACAAGTTCAGACACTCTGCTCATTGACATTTACACTCATAACTTTCGGGACAATTTCAGTAGTGTCATTTTCAACTTGTAAAACGTGCAAGTGATTACAATGGATTTGAAGCATAGCACTTGTACAGTACATACATTATGCATGCATGCAACAGTCCCACATCTCTAAAACAAATATAACTTCCAGTTATTTTTTAACTCTAACCCAGAATGATGGTGAAACAAATTTCACAAGATAAAATAACTTAGTGCCCTTTGTCAATCTACTGCTCGATGGTCTATCCACAGTCACCAGATACAAAATTGTGCAGATTATATAAGCATCTTAGATTGCATATAATTTTAAGTGGTGTGATTAAACGAGTTTGAGTCGGGCAGCTCGGATGAAAAAACAGCATTTGGTGTTGAAGAAAACCAATGCATTGCACTTTGGTGTCATGTCTCTTCATTTTATACAAATATACAGACGTGTATTGCGGCTGTCAGGTATACAGTACACAATGAAATGTGCTTGTTCATGTGGAAGATTTAATTTAACAAGATACAGAATAAGTCACTAATGTACAGGATAATCAAAGCAGAAAACTATGCATAGGCTATACTTAAGTATTAATGTGCATTATTTTATGTCATCGTTTTGTACATTTCTACACAAGTGTGCAAGAAATTATACATTGAACATTTACAGTAGTACATTGTGATAGCTTGCAAGAAAATGTAATTCAGTTAATTAACTTGAAGTCTCATTTGTTGTTTAAATCTTACGAAAATATGTTCACTTATGACAACTTATCAATTCAGCGATACGCTGGGATTTTTTCACTGCATTAAAACTCGTTATTTACTCCTGAAAGTCTAAATCATGGCATTTGTAGATAATACAATGCAAAAAAAAAGTTTGTTGACCTATCAACAAACATGTTAGTATTCAAATAGTACACCACCAGTCACAAAAATCCACAAGTATTCTTATCATGGTACGGAAGCTTTTAAAGAAGTTTAGAAAGCACATTTATGAACTGAAGATTATTTTAATAGAATAAGTATATACCTTTTCTTAAAAGTACAACAGATGTGCACATTTCCTTGACGAATATGAATTTAAAATGTACAAATATATCACATATCAAAGTGGTAATATTTGTTTATAACGCATGAATAGTAACATTTTACACACCTTAAATAGTGCCATACAAGAATTACAGTGTTTATGACAATGCATCATTGCATTCTAATATTGGACAAAAATGAGCCCAGAAAACTGTTAATTGGAATAATGAAAGCTCAATGAAACATGTTGCTAAACAACTTGTGGATCAAAGAAAAAGCATTTTTTTACGGATTTTTTTACTTGTGAATATATGCCATGTTGGCCTAATGTGATTGAAGGATATTTCGTTTGCGAAAGGCAGTTGTGGTTTCACTGGAATTTCTGTTTCAGCTTGTTCTTCAAAAAGACGGGCAAAAGCGAAAGCCCAGCAAACAGCATGAGCACCAGAACCGAGTTCCAGGAGACAGCGTCGCCGGCCGTCGTCAGCTGATACAGCGTCGTGCCCCCCTGAATTGCGATGAATGAAGGTGGTGCAACACCTAAAAGACACCATCAAATGAGAATGCTTTTCTATTAAAAATGTATACAAGGGTTTAATATTTAAACAAGCTTCTCTTGCATATCACATTTCAACATCATAAATACAATGTTTATTTAAAAAAATATTTTTAGGGTATTTATACTCACAATTTATTCTGATAAAAAACACATTTAATGGGTTTTACGAGTTATAACACAACTTTGAAATAAGAAAATTCACTATTACTTTAAAAACATTACCACTAAAACAATCTCTCAAGAAATGTCACGCTTGTACTTTTACATTTCCAAGAAAATGAGTATTACCAATGAATGTTCCAACAAAAAACACGCCAAGTGGGACATTGATGACTGGAGAAGTAATGTTAATGAACCAGTTCGGCAGGAAGGGAGTGATTCTCAGGAAAATTATGTAGTTGAGGAGATGCTCCCGATGTTTGTTCACCTGAAAGGAACAAGACAATGTGGTTATTCCTCGACTTAAAAAGCTTTCGTGACTGCAGGAATCATTATTCTTTGGGTCTTTCGGTAAAGTCACGTAGATAGATTCAAAGAAAATAACAAAAACTACAATGTTTTGATCGCAACACAACGGTCGTCCTGAGAATATGTATACATCAGGACGACCGTTTGTGTTGCGATCGAAACGTCGTAGTTTTTGTTATTTTCTTTGAACCTATCTACGTGACGTTACCGAAAGACGCAGAGAAAAATGTGGTTATCACATAATTTTTCTCAAAATTAAACCGTAAGCAGTGCTTATAAAGCCGTTATAAAATAATTACGTGTTGTGTTGAATTAGTTTTGTTTTACATATTAATTATGAACATTAAAATTTGGATTAAAATACTGTCCATAAGGTAATACTTACATTATCTGACCATGCAGCAGCCTTCTCTGAAAGGTACTTGTGGACAATTGGCCGACCAACAAGATATGACAGCATGTAGCAAAAAGATGCGCCAAGTCCGGAACACTAGAAACGAGTACATTAATATATTTCATTATGGTGCTTGCAATTTACACATACGACAATTGGCATTTAACACTTTCTCAATAAAAAAAATGTGCTTGCAAAAGTCTTACCAAACAAACCAGCAGCAAGGCCAAGGGGAAAGGATAGAGAAATCCTGAAAGAATACTGAGGAATATAGAGCCTGGGATAGCAAATGTCTGGAGGCTGCAAATATATAAGTCAAGGACAACACCACATTTGAACACATTTTAAAAAACGGTGCTATAATTAAAACCATGTTCAGTGTTTGTAGTATAACTTCCAAGGCACAATTTGCTCGCATATGAAAAAGGATACAAAATATATGTTGAAAAAAATGCAACCATGACTTGAACGTAAAATGTTTCTTTGTATTTTGACAAAACTTGGCCAAGTGCTTTTGCATCATCCATATCCTTGGGAAGCTTGATCTTTCCCCTTTCCTCTCTGTGAAAAAACAGTTGATAAGAAGCAAAATAACATGTGTATATAAATAGTACATAAAAACCCTAGTTCAAATATATATTTTGATTGATTCGAGGGACACGAGTGTAAAACAAAACAGAATATGTATACCGAGGACAATTAATAAAGGCAGATGAGAATCAAATACATTAAATGAAATGGAAATTCAGAGCAGGTTGGAGTGGTTTTAGAAACTAGTTGACAATGACAGGTAACATGCCATTGTGTCTAAAGGATATTTGCAATCAACGCATATTACCCATGATGACATATGAATCAGAAACATGGACATTGAAAAAGAAAATGGGATAAAAAGTAAAAAAGTACACAAATAAACATGGAGAGGTGCATGCTTGGAATTAAAATGACAGACTTAAATAAAATCAGGAAACAAATGCAAATTGAATACATCATACTGGCCCGTTAAGGAAAGTAACACAGCATTAGAAAGGTATCTGATAAATGAAATTGCTGATGTAACAGCAGCCAAAGGAGAGACTACGATTGAGAGAATAACCACCACAGACATAAGATTGAGAAAAATGTATGTACAGGAACAAGATGGATTATGGTAACACCATTAAGGGAGCATGACTATGTGAGGACTTCATCTCGTAGTAAATAGATATTGGCTGATGATACAGTATATTTAAAGGCACTAAAAAAACGTATGCTCTCATGTCCACCCTTAAGTCATTCACGACACCCACACATATATTAAACATCAAAAACCAATAATGAACAAAGGTCTACACTTTTTCCTCACTGACCGTCATACTGTGTGGTTAGTACTTGAAGAAGTAATAGGCGTGATATGCGGCATGATATTGCATTTGGTAAAACATTCTAATTAATTGTCTTGACATTGCAGATTTGCCCAATGTAATTGGCACAAAAGTCACCTACTCGCTCAGCTGTGGGAAGTTAATGTAGATGATAAACATGATTGCTGCAGCTGTCAGGAAGATCAGAGCCAGCAAGAGCAGCGGCTTCTTTGTAGAGTCAACACCATCTTGGTTATTTTCTGCACACACACATTACATTAACAATAATGTAACATTCTTTTGACAGTGGAAGCATCGATAAATAGCTATTAATTGGAACAAGGATACCACTACTTAGTGCCGTCTCTAACATAAACTATGTATGAACCAGAGTTCAGTCTTCAGACTTAAATGAGCATGTAAGTCCCGAACCTGTCATAGCTTATATGCCAGGGCCACTTTCCCCAAGTTAGAGCAGTTTCTCAAGCCTCCATCTTTCAGACAGACTCATAATTGAAATATTAAGACTAATTCAACTAATGCTTATTTTTTGGAGCAGGAAAAGATTCCTATATATTTTTACAATCATATTTTCTGAATGCACAATGGCAAAAGCTTGAAACACCTTGACAGCAACTCCGCTACTCAATTAACAAATGACCAATTGACAAGTTACCAATTGTGTGAATTCAAATATGGCAGCATCCTCACCCTTTGGTGGCATCTGTACAACAGATCTCAACTCTTAATTCTGAACTATCCAATCTCATGCTCCACCACTGATTTTGACGCATCGACCACATGTTTCGCAACTCGAGAGCTCTGCGTGAGCACTGAGGCTTTTGCGACTGGACTCCACGAAGACACCGTAACGTACGTTTGAGGGCCGGTGAGAGTCTCCCATCGGGATGGGAGTTGCTCTGTGTGACCCTGCTCCTGGTGTTGCTCGTCCTGCTCTGCTGTGCTCCAACCTCAGCCTTCGCCATTCCCATAGAGCTCGGGTTTCCTGATGCACATAGCGAACGACAATTTAGTTTAATGTAGCATTTAAATGTGACCGCATCGCGGGATGCTATGCAGAAACAGGAAAATTAGTTTCCTTAAAGGAAATGAGTCCGAGAAAGCAAACGTGAGTAACCGTTACAGCACGGAACTTTGTCAATCTAATGCTGAAGGCCTCCCCATATTGTGTTGGCAATGGGGTTGTTTGGACATACTTCCCCCACGTGGGTGATTGCAGATTGGTGAAGAGGGATGCCTAGGACCAGCTCGGATGTCAGCAAACACTTATGTTAACTCTTTGGTTATTTCGGTAAAGTCACGTAGAAATAAAATAAAATAAATAATAGAGTACGACGTTTCGATTGCAACACAAGCAACCGTCATCAAAACACAGACACGGAGACACACAAGCAGAGAGAGACAACACCGACACACAGAGAGACACACAACATAGACACACTGATGTTAGCCTTGTCCAGGAATCAAACTCATTCACCGGGTTCACAGTGCAGGACACCAACCACTGCTCCACAAATAACAAGTATTCTGTACTTTTCATTAAAAAATCCGATGGTGTTGTCGTATAATGTACTGCTGCTACTATTGGTTTTTCAGAATTGGTTTTGGGGCTCCCGGGTTAATGAGCATAGACGCATCATTGGAGACCACAAAATGTGGGCTTGCTGCCATAATGTGATGGTGCACATTGCACTTCATTACCAGAGGTCACCGGTTTGATTATGTTAGTCGTGGGATACTGTGCATACACGTACAGGATTTATTTTCTCCCATAACACTGGATTTGTAATCCAGAGGTCACCGATTTGATCTCTCAGTACGGCAGTTGAAACAATGGGCAAGTTTCTGAATTCTGCCCGCCCGTCCACCACCCAACAGCAAGGGGCAAATGGATTTTCACCACAGTCGTAGTTCTATCCACCACTTTTAAGACATCTCGGGTGCGACCAGTTGAAAAAATGTTGATGACACACGTTTTTTGTCACATCTGTCCTTTCACATATCGGTCTCTACACATATAAATAAACATATTTCATCGCATTGGCTACACGCCCTTTTGAGTGTCCATTACTTGAGCAGCAATGGTTGAACACAAGCTCGTATGCTCATGATGGGGTCAGATATGCGAAGGGAACGTCTTTTTTATTTAATTCCGTACTAATAGTCTCCACAACGACGCGAATGATTAATGTTATGTAATACACGTGTCACCACGAAATGAAATACAGTAACCTCTGATACCGATCACACCTTACGGAAACACGACTCAAAAAAGCGCACCCACTCCAACCACCACCGTCATCACCACACACAATGTAACAAACAATTGCATTCCAATAATCATCGTCAGCAGCCACGGTCGATCCACTGCTGGTACCGGCCTTCGCGAAGCCGCCGCCGTCTCTCAGGATGAACCCAGCGCTGGAGTAACAATCCACCTAACAGGGGCACTGGATGACTTCACCGCTCCGTCTCCTCGATGTCTGTAACCTCTCGTCGACGTTTAAACCCCCCACGAGTGCAGGGCACACGCGGGCAAAGGGCCAATATATTATTTATAAAAAAAACGAAAACGTCACGCGGAACAGCAACGCTGCCACGAAAGATCTAAGAGACAAAGCGACGACGCAGAACGTATGCATCTAAACACGGAGAACTCACCTTTCGCTGATAGGAAATAATAATAATTTCCCCCCTCCTCTCCTCCGGTTTCACCTTGAAGACAATTCGCCGGAGAAGCCGAGAGAGCGAGCGAGAGACTTCGCCTCCCTGCTGCCGGTGAAGCTGAACTCTGACCTCTGACCCCCCTCCCCTTCCCCGTACGTCACTTCCTGTGAAGGGCTTTCCGGGACCACTTCTTTCACTGCCGGGTGAGGCCCAATGCGTTTGGGTGGTCGTGGTGGGTAACGTCTGAGCATGCTCTTAGGTTTTTTCGGTAAAGTCACGTAGGTAAAAAATAAATAATCAAACAAAAAATAATAGAAATAAAATAATATCATAATCTGAGCAGGTGACCACGTGGACACGCACGTGGGCGCTCACGCACGTGGGCGCTTACGTGGCAGTGGGGAGGCCCAAAGACAAAGATAAGTCGAAGGGTGGCACAGGCGGGTTTTTTACAATCGGGTTTTTATTTTTTACAATCTGGTTTAATTGTCTTTTTATATTAAACCCGATCATCCGAGATTGGGAGAAATCCGGTTTCATTGGTTCTAATTGCAGGTTTTAATTCCCCGAAATCTGGTTTAATTGTATTAAAATCGGGTATTTTCCACCCATGGTGTTGTCAGGCTACACGGGGGTATCTTTCATGGGTGGAGAAAACCCGATTTTTCCAGCGGCAGGCATTGGGTCTTTTCTTTAATACAATTAAACCCGATTTCGGGGAATTAAACCTGGTTTAATGAATACGAAGCTCTGATCCGAGGCTTAGGCTGCTTCCTCGTCGGTGCTGCTATCGTAGAATGCGGCGGGCAGGTTGGTCTTGATGAACACGAGGAGGAGCTTCTCTTCGACAATCGTGGGCACTGCCAGTGAGTTCCTTCGCTTGGAATGGATGAAGCCCATCGTTGAGAAGTTGGCGAAGTGCGGTTCTGCAATTAGAACCAATGAAACCGGATTTCTCCCAATCTCAGATGATCGGGTTTAATATAAAAAGACAATTAAACCCGATTGTAAAAAACCCGACTGTGCCACCCTTGGACAACACGCAGACTGTCGGGGAAAGTGCGTTGCTGTTGATTCAGTTTCATTTAGTTGGTAGAGCCCTGTGAGCCATTTCAGCTCTTGAATCGGATGCAACCGCGACAAAAAACATGAACAAGAAAACATCTTAAAGTGACTATGTGCAAACAGAAAAATCCAGGAAAAAAACTGCTGGCACGGGGCACACACGAAGTGGTCGGGGGGGGGGCAGAACCACGCCCGGCCGCCTTTGTCTTCCCAGTGACGATGTTTAACTACACAACCGCACCTCAAATTTCAATTTAAAGCTTTCGTGACTGCAGGGATTCATCTTCTTGGTTCTTTCGGTAAAGTCACGTAGAAGGGAAATAAAACTAAAACTCTCACGACGTTTCGGCCACAACGCAAGCAGCCGTTCTCAGGTGAAGAACAGGTCTGTCGGACGCTTTCCGACAGCCCTGTTCTTCACCAGAGGACGGCTGCTTGCGTTGTGGCCGAAACGTCGTGAGAATTTTATTATGTTTTATTTTATTATTTCCCTTCTACGTGACTGCCGAAAGAACCAAACCGCACCTCATTTGAGGCTGAGTCGACCTAGGGGAGCCCCCCCCCCCCCCCCAGTGACATGTTCATCTAAAGGTTTTTACGACGGTCTGTTACATTTATTTCACGACAGGTCGTACTACATCTGTGGGGGTGGGGGCGGAATTAGGGGGCGTGTGCCGTAAAGCTCATGCGCATGCGCACTAGCGGCGCAGTCGAGGGTTCCTTTTGGCGCCGGGAGGCCCCGCGTGTCGGAGCGAGCGAGCGAGGAGTGAAGATTTAAACTAATTAACAAATAATTTAAACTTAATAACAACAGCGAAACATCGAGAGGTCTTCTTGTTCATATAGGACGTGCACGCAGAGCGACAGAAGCGATGGATCCCGGACGGATAATCGAGGCGCTGCGGGGAACCATGGAGCCCAGCCTGAGGCAGGCGGCCGAGACGGAGCTCAACCAGGCGAGTCCGAGGCTTTGGGCCCAAACTACGCGGGTGTCACCGCCGCCTCCGCGTAGATTCGCTTCGTGATAAAAGAACATCTGTCGGTCCTTTTTAGCGGTGACAAGGGGGGGGGGGCATTTCTTTTGGTCGTCGACTGTTAGGCACGGCGTTGTCCGTCGTTCGGCGGTGGTTTGTTTTCGCGGAGCGTTTCTTTTGTGCTGTACGGCGGTGGAGGGGTTATTTAATTCATTGACGTGGAATGTGGTGGTGGTGGGGCCCACATGGTTCTCCGTCTTGCCCCTGCGTGCGACGCTAATTTTACTCGGGTGGGTTTTGTTAAGGATGTACGGAATCTTAATTTGATGAGGTGTTGAAAAGAAAATAAGATCCCGAGTACGGTATGTTGAGAGTGGTGCTCTCAAAGCACGTGGTTTTGATGCTTTTCATTTGGTTTTCGGACGGATTGTGAGCTTCCTATCTTAAGCGTGTGACGACAACACACGACTCGAGTGAAGATTAAGGGATTTGTACTGCAGTACAGAATAATATCTAGTTAAAATCGATAAACTAGAACTGAATCGGATTTAATCCCGAGAGGGAAACAATACATTTTTGAACGTATCTTCCATTTCATCTACACACACGACCACGTCTAAAGAAAGTATCCAACCGCAGGGCCGAAAAGCAACGGCGAATGTACATACAGATAATGAACTTAAATTAAATAAAACTAATACTTATTTTATATTGTGCCAACCACCCAGCTGGTGCCGTTTCCCGCGTGGTGGCGAAAGGAACTCTGGGGCCAGAGTCCCTCCCTTGGCCATGTGGGCGATGCCCCGCATCTAATTTAGTTCCAGTTTATTTTAAGCAGTAGATCATATTGTACAATGAGCGTGTACTTGTGGGAAACAAACTGCTCGAATACTATAATCTTGCCACGTACATAGTAATACGTAACAATTTTATTATCTTGTTAAAACAATCATCTAGACGCTAACGGGAGCCAGTGAGTCGTGCACATTTTAACTGGGAACTTGCGGGCGGATATTGGTTGCTGACATTTTATGCTGACTTAAAAAGTTACGCTTTTTCGATTGAGGACGGTACGCACATCTATAGTTAGTGCCTGCCGAGCCGTTGGGTGGGTCCGTCAATAAGATGTTAACTCACTCTTTGGGTCTTTCGGTAAAGTCACGTAGCTTTAAGTCAATATTTAAGACGTTAACTGTTGGCCTCTGTAAGGATGCGTTCCGGTTGGAGCTAAGTCTCCTTGCCGCTGGAGACGTGATAATCAGCCGACTTTATCTTGGCCTGGCCAGGATTTGAATTTATGGTCCTCACAACTGGTAGATTTTTAATCTCCGGCATTGAAATACAGTTTATTTCTAGATTCTAGCTGTATAGTGCATAACCTTTAACGTTAAGGATTTACAAGGTGAACGTAATGTGTCCCGCACTTCGATTAGCGCGGTTGGCTGTGTACGGTGCGATAGAAGTTGAACATAAATATTGGATACGATAAATGATATAGAAATGTACAACTTGTCGTTTTTGAGGGGAGGTGATTTTTAGTCGTTTTCGTCATTGTGCTTTTTTAAAACTTAATGGTAGTGCTGGTATTTTGGGCATAATTGCTTGGTTGTCACAACAAGTGGAAAATTATACTGTTATTCAAGCATTAATTACTCCACATGGCTGGCTCATGTTAGATAACTTATTTTTGTGTACCACAAGTGGAGATGCAAAAAATGTAAGCTGCTTTATTTTCTGAGACTAGCACAAAAGACTTTGGTCAAAGTAAAGTAATAACTTACGTTAGTTACTGGACAACTCGCGATGTATTTTGCTAAATTTGTTGCATGAGAGTGCAAATACGTGTCATTTTTCTTTGCTTGCAGGTGCACAAGATCATCAGCTTTGCGCCGACACTGCTGCAGATTGTGATGTCTGAGAATCTGGATATGCCTGTCCGTCAGGCAGGTGAGGTACACGGTAGACAAGCTATTGTTTACAGCAGATGAGATGTGAAACGATTGTGAAAATTATAAATATAATTTGCAATGAGATTCCATCTTGGTGTGTTGCGAACTGCAGTGTTTAACATTGTAAAGTTATTACAAACGACTCTGTTTAGGTTTTTCTTTCACTGTTTAATCTGTTGAGATTACGTTTTTAGTGTGTGTGGGGAGAAATTGACTGACGTAAATATGCTTTGCAGGTGTGATTTACCTGAAAAACATGGTGAGTCAGTTTTGGCCGGACCGTGAACCACCACCTGGTGAGATCATGCCATTTAACATCCACGAGAATGACCGTGAGCAGATTCGCGGCAGCATAGTGGAGGCCGTCATTCAGGCTCCGGAGCTCATCAGGTAACGATCTTTTGTATTCAATTGATGGTTTAAGTACTTATTTCCATCATAGCTGCTTAATTCGCATTTCCGATTAGCATGGTTGGCAACGCACTATGCGAAAGGAGTTAAAAATACATACAGCATACTTACAATGGTAACTTATAAAAATGTGAGTTATGTATGAGCTAAACCATGATGCATTTTGTCTTTGAAATAGCAATTTCGATTTGAAATCGATTAATCGTTCAGCCCTACTGGGTACCCAATCATTGAGGTGATCCAGTGTTTCTAGGATGACACACTCCATCTCAAATGGTATGTTCTGAGTTTGCTATGCAACATGAGCGAAAAAAAACTACTTGCATGCATTCGTCCTTCTGCAGAGTGCAGCTCACCACGTGCATCAGTCAAATCATCAAACACGATTACCCGGGAAGGTGGACCGCTGTCGTAGGACAAGGTTGGATTCTACCTGCGATCTGATAACAGCGCCTACTGGCTGGGCAGCATGCTGTGCCTGCACCAGCTTGTCAAAGCTTACGAGTAAGTCAATAATGCCAGGGAATGGAAACCATGTGGAAATTAAATAATAGCAGCCATCAATTGTCTTGCCAGAAAACATGTCTATATTATCTACGAATATTTGAGATTTTTTTAGTGTTTATCTGCCCGTGTGCTAGCAAAGGTATGCAAAATGCATTGTGGAGAATATATTGATCGAATTTTTTTAATAGCCCCTAATTTTTTATCATAATGTTATTTT